CCATCGGTTTAAAATTGTCGAAGTTTCATACAAACTTTCATTCCCTATTTTATCCCCTTGGGGGTAGAATTGATCAAAATCCTTTCTTAGCAGATGCCTACGTCATAACATCTACCTGCATGCCAAATTTCAGCCCGATCCGTCCAGTGGTTTGGGCTGTGCGTTGATAGATCACTATGTCAGTCAGTCACCTTTGAGTTTTGTATATATAGATAACTTATTGAAGCTGTGTTTAAACGTGGTCCTGCGATTTCACTTTCTAAATGAGAATGAGAGGTCGGGGCGTTACTTCGAGCGGAAAGGAATGTTAAATGCCCAATTTTCATAATTATTTGCAAAACACGCAGTTTTATTATTATTTGACGACCTCCGTGACCGAGTGGTTTGTACGCCGGGTTTCATGGTGTCGCCGACTCGAGAGGTCCCGGGTTCGAATCCCGGTGGGGGGCAGATGTTTGTGTGATGAATACGAATATTTGTACTCCAGTCATGGATGTTTACTGTATATGTATTCTATCCGTTACCCTAGCATCCCATAACACAAGCCTTATAGTGCTTACTTTGGGGCTAGGCTAATTGGTGTGAGTGTCGGAAATATTTATTTATTATTTTATTATTTCAAAATATCTTTATTCGAATAGGAAGCATACATAATACAACTCTTTCGAATCGTCCATATTTTTTCCCCTTCCACCCGATAAGGTCATTTTTTAGCTTTGCAGAAAAACGAGCGAAAATATCTTCACAGCGTCAATTCTTGTAACGATATTTACAAAGTATTATATTGTTGCAGTGTCAATTACAAAATGTGAATAATTAACTTAGTTTTTGATCCCCCGTCCAACCGGTCAAACTTGTTGTAGCTTTCATGACAGCAGAGCGAAAGCTCTTACGACTTACGTTTTCGATCTCCTCGATATATTTATATATATATTAAAAGATATTATATATCTTGTAATGGAAATTGTAAAAGTAATTAAACAAATGCTTTGCTCTGAAAATAAATATTTTATTTAAGTATGTATGTAGGTTAAAACATTTATTATTCACTACACTTTTTACTATCTACTATAAATCATACTAACTTACCTGAAAACAAAGAAACGACATTTAAAGTCTTTTACTTAATACAACAATTCCTTCCTTTACAATAATATTTTAAAATAACCAAATAATAATATCACGGCTGTTCTGTTCTGTCAAAGCGACACCATCTGTCAAGTGACAGTTTTATTATTATGGTCGCCCGAGAGCTATACAAACTACTTAAGAAATAACAAATTAAAGAACTGACTGTAAAGAGTTCTTTACATATATATCTTTATATATATAATTCTTCTGTGAGTGTGTATGTCACTGAACTTCTCTTAAACGACTGGACCGATTTTGATGAAATTTTTTGTGAGTGTTCAAGGGGATCTGAGAATGGTTTAGATTCACAATTTTGTCCGCTGGACAACCCCTATTTTTTTAGGGCGGTACGAAGTTCGCTGGGTCAGCTAGTATATATATATATATATATCTGTATTTATATATTATAATTACATTTAAAATCAAAAGCTGTAGATGTACTCCCTTCTTCCCCTTCTACACGGCCAAATTAATTTATTTATTCAATTAGCGGCATCAACGATTCATACCTTATATGGAGAAAAACCGACAAGAAATTTGACAAGGGCAATTTTTTCTCCCTGTATAAATTTCATATAGTGTCTTCAATTGCAAGAAGTCAAATACAAACTTATGTATTGAGGTCAACTTCCATCACATAAAGGAATTATAATCACAGACAGCATGGATCTATTTCATCGGTTCCTACGTGGAATGAACCGGTACGCACTTCTATTTCTCGCCAATAAACAGTTAAAATATTGCAATATGCGTATGCGCCGCAAGTGTTAGCTCAAGTGTAAAATTCTTAACGCATATTAGCTAAGATATATTGGCTCTATGACGTTTTATTAAATACGCCTGATAATTTATGTTAATGATAGGAATGTCCATTTACGAGATATTGGTAAAATTTTGGTAGACACAAAGCAGCCATTAATGTTACCATGTGAAAACTTGTACCTTGCCAACAATTTTACTTACGTCATTTAATAATTTATTTACTTATTATAACAATAATGAAATAATTATTGTTTCAGCTAAATGCACATTATTTTTAATGAAAGAAATAGGTGAAAATAACAAGCGGTTCATAAGCAACATTAATATTTTTAAAAAGTAAAAAATTATAAGTATTTAAGGTAAATCGAAATTTCAAATAAACCATAATTGACATATTACAGAACATGACAATATTGTTTAATTGTTAAATCTGGTGACGTTTAATTATAGTTTTTTTAGAGTTACAATTGCTTAAATTACTGAAACAATATTTATGCATCATGCAAGTGTTTTAATGAGCATAAAGGACAATGGGCAAAACACACCCAGCTCCGCCAACAACGTAATTGGTATGAATCGATAGATCTATGAAAAACTAGCCTTTTTTATTATGACACCGAAATAAAATATCCTGGTAGTCAAAAGATATGACACCGTAAAAAATATCGTGGTAGTCAAAAGATATGACACATGGGCGTATTTAAGTAGCTAAATAAATTCAATTTATAGTACCAACCTTCATTTTATATTATGTATTAGTAACCATAATAATATGCCATATCGTACTATACAACCAGATATACGACAAAGCTTGCCGACAATCCTGCGCTTGCACTTAGGTACCTCAAAAAGGTTTACGGGGGTTGAAGGACTTGCAACTAAATAGTCGACTCGTCTTACTTCGTTGTGATTGTGCGCTCCCTGTCATTTGATTGATTTTTATCAAACACGCTTTGGACACACATTTGACATTGGAACACGATTATCTGTTTTGTCAATTAGTATGGATGAACTGGAATCATGTTTTCTCCGAAGCGTAGACAAGTTTGTGTGATTTGAGATCGCTCCGTTTTACATAGAAGATAATTTACTATAAGGTACAGAGTGTTTGAAAAAAACCCAACCCATGCAGGGATTTTTGGATTTACTTGCGCTCGGCAGAAAAACATAGGGGGACACCCTTGCACCTTGAGAAGTACTCCCATAATACCTGAGCCCTCTATGTAGGGTCGAATTAACAAACTAAATTAATTCCCTAGGTTCATTAATGTTCATTCATTATAGTATTTGTACCTATTTAACTTAAAATAACTAAAGACCCCCGGGATGGAATTTGATGCGCTTTGGCACAGATGATCATGACAATAATACCTTTCAAACAAATGTAGTTTAAGCCGTGCCGGACGTGGGTGCAGCGTCCATACATTTTTGCCCATTGTCCTCTACATTATTTAAATCATTTTCTATTGTAATTGTTTCGTTTGGCACGATCTGTAGCATTAATAGTAAAAATATTATACATGTTGATGTAAATAAATAAAAACTACTATGACTATCTTACTAAAAAACTTATTTAAATATAACATAATCATCATAATCGGTTCACGCATGTCGGACATGTGCGCAAACTACAATAAAAGATAAACTTCCTTCTTTTTGAAGTCGGTTAAAATCAACCTTAAAGTTGCGTAATTTGATTCTAAAATTTTTAAATCTTATAATTTTTATTTGTTCATCATGTAACTGCTCGATGTTTAAATCTAAAGAAATAACTATACTTGCTATTTCCTTTTTCAAATATTATACTCGTAATGGTATTCATTTGACATTGTGGGTTACCTACAATGCAAAGAGATGGCGCTGCCTTACAGCTAAAGAAAAGCTAGAAGAAAAAATTCGACACGGCCATCAGGGCCGCGGTAGCATAATGGTCAGTGCATTCGCTCGGATAGCGAAGGGTGCGGGATCGAGTCCCGTCTGCTGCCCGGTCAGCGTTTAAGCGGACCTTTTTATGCTATTGCATAGATTTTATCGCAGGCTTTTAGCGCGGCGACCGAATCAAGAAATTTCGTAAAGAAAATAACCTGACAAGAGTGCATATGAACAGAATTTTCGCCTTTCCAGTATTGATCTAAATGGCGCAGGGTGTTAATTTTTTGCCACGGGACCAACGTTCGTCACATCACCGCGGTCGTCGGTTCAAATCCCGCACTCGTATTTTTTATTATATTCTTTTCCTTTTTTTATATATCTGTTTTAGACCCCAGCACCTGTTCTTATTTTTAATTGTCTCTCTTTTATTAAGACTTTATAATTATAATTTAAATTTTTGGACTAAAGATGGCAAACTGTGGACCTTGTGGATGTTTTTTGGCGCCGGGCAATGCTGTTATTTGCTGTGCTTGCCCAATAAAATATCATAAGGGCCTGCCTCGCCATCAATTAATATCAAATAAAAAGAAATTGCATAAATAAAATAAATAAATAATTATAATAGGTATGATGACTAATTTTTTTTTCTTCGTTTATCAGGTAGATTATCAAAAAGTGTTGGTATTTTTTCTTTTTTCACATAATATAAAAATCGCAGAGATATATTGATTTCGTCACGTTTGAGTACACTTATAAGTGAAAATTCACTCAAAAGTGACGTCACGAGCCCCTACTCCCAAACTTTGACGCACTATAACTTTGTCATTTTTTGGTTGATTGCCCAAAGAAAAAATACGTGTCCATTATTTTTTGATCATCTAACTGACGGACTAAATAGAATTTCGTTTACTGTACCCCGTCATAACCCCTATTGCATAAGTTAATAAAAAATGCTATGCAATAGCTAGCGGCAGTCCCCGAGTGCCACACGTATTTTTTTAATAATATCAGTGCATTAGTCCGCCTAAGTATACCAGAGTTGTATGTACCTTACCTCTGGAGCCTTAATCATCGCCAGAAATACAACACATCCAAAAGGTTGTGTGATTTCTCAGCGGTCTTCTGTAAGATGCAGATTACTCTCCTAGAAACGAGCGGAGAACTGCTCTCTTTAATCTGTAAATTGTCATGTTTTGTGTAAAAAAGTATATTATATCTATAACTTTCTTCAACAGACACCAATGGCTACGGAGGGGGAGGTTTTCCAGAGAAGGAGCAGGGTGGCGGCAGTGGCAGCGGCATCAGCTGGCGGCAGCTAGCAGCCAGACGCGCGCGAGCCTGCTGCTCCACCAAGATGCTGCTGCGGCGGGTGCCGATCCTCGCCTGGCTGCCACAGTACTCCATCAGAAGCGGACTGGCTGATATCATTGCAGGTACGAACAATAGGGATGATGACTAATTTTTTTTTTCTTCGTTTATCAGGTAGATTATCAAAAAGTATTGGACACGTATTTTTTCTTTTTTCGCATAATATAAACATTGCAGAGATATATTGATTTGAAAAGTCGCATGACGTCACGTTTGAGTACACTTATAAGTGAAAATTCACTCAAAAGTGACGTCACGAGCCCCCACTCCCAAACTTTGACGCGCTATAACTTTGTCATTCTTTGGTTGATTGCCCAAAGAAAAAATACGTGTCCATTATTTTTTGATCATCTAACTGACGGACTAAATAGAATTTCCTTTACTGTACCCCGTCATCACCCCTATTCAAAAAATTCAATATTCAATATCGTTTATTAAGTGTGAATGTCACAGACATTCACAAGTGTGAATGTCGAAAATCTACGCCATCGGTTCGCAAGTCTACGGCGGGAGACCTTGTACTGAGAAGAACCGGCAAGAAACTCAGCAAGGGCTGTTTTTTTCTCCCTGTATTATATACAGAGTCGTCAAATTGAAAAATGACATCAATATGAGGTAACTTCTAAAGTCACTTTCCATTACAAACAAAAAATGCAATAATATAAAAATTATGACTATAAATTAAAAAAAAATATTTATAAGAAACTGGTTTTACAAAGTTTAGGAATGCCGTGTCCTACTGTTTAGGCAAAAAAAATAATAATGAACGATTAAAGTTTAGTACAACGATTAATAGTACCCAATGAAGCAAGAACAGACTCATCTCCGCTGGCAGCACCCGTTCACGAGCATGACGCATGAACTAGCCATCGCTTCGCTCAACCATTTTTTAGGGAATGCAACGACCCGCCTCACACGACACCACCGAAGAGACTTTTAAGAGAGCATGACTACTCATAACCACACATGGATACTATGTTACAAAAATAGAAAAAATATATATATAAACGTTTTGGTTACCATCGGCTTATTAATGTCCCAACTGCTAGAATACTGTGGGGATGGAATATGTAGAACGGGTCATGATCATGACCCACGTGGACCCAATGCGGATTTGCTGGACAACAACGGTTTAACATGCCTTCCGAAATACAAAGAGGAAACAGAATATATTTTTTGCCACCCACCCTAAATACGGCGTTTCCACATCGTGCTCAGAACAGTTCTGGACAAGCAAACATTTAGTCGCTAGGAATGGAAACATCAGAGCGAGCGAACGACTTCGTTCAACGACGGTCGACTTATCGCAGCGAGCAAATGTTCGCTCGCTCGATCATTCAATGGAGACAACGTATTAGGCACAAGTATTATGCTATTGTAAGCTTTTGTTAAGAGTGTAGGAAGGCCAAAGGGGAAGATCTTCCTCCGAGCTGGAGTGATGTTAGCTCGGGGGCCCACCTGATGTTGGTCGGGCATCGTATATATATGAAGAGTTAGCCTCCGAATTTCATTTGCGCGATGTAGGCTTCCATACTATTAAGATCGCAGTGCAGGTAACGCCATCTCTTGAGGATGGTGAGTAATGATTTCCTAAATCCGTTGTATATCTGTGGGGCATATAGATGTCGCCGCCACAAGAGCATTTGTTCGGAGCATTTATTTGGTGGAAAGAAGAACTAGTTGTTCTGAGCAAACATTTTGGTCAGAGCGAACATTTGCTCTGAACAAAATGTTTGCTCGGCAACTAAATGGAAACGCGGCTTAATATGATAGGATATTCTAAGTGTCCACTACGCCATCGAGCTGTTCGTCGCAAATCTTCAGACTTGAGTATTTATAGCCCACATGACATTTGCGAAAGTTTCGTCACTAAAGAGATTGCCTTCGCGATAGTGCTATCGAACAAACTAATCCCAGACCTACTAGCCCGATAATACGCTTAAAAATGACAAAACAGACAAGTTTCACGTAATTGCCCTTAGGACCTTCTAATAACAAAGAAACTGTATTAATATGGCTCAAAGATCTTTGTTTGGCCTTTGTTTTCATTGCAGTAGATCATCTTATCGATAAAATTGTTCTGTAAATTAATAATTATTTTTTATAGCTATTAACGGGATTGTTACCATGTACCTTGTTTTTTATGAGTCTCCGATATTTCGGCACTGTTGCAAGCGCCATGATCACGGAGTAACTGAAGTAATTGCGGGTAGATGTTATTGGCAGATTGGCAGGGTATCGAGCGCAGTAAAAGACGACGTCAGAGGGTAGACCGATATGTCTGCCAATAACATCTACCCGCAATTACCTCAGTTACTCCGTGATCATGGCGCTTGCAACAGTGCCGAAATATCGGAAACTCATAAAAAACAAGGTAACAATCCCGTTAATAGCTGTAATGTTAGTGACCATGAAAGTTTAAAACAATATATAATTATTTTTTGTTGAAGTATTACGAAAAATGATTACTTAATGAAGAATAATGAAAATTCGCACTCTTTATTTCCTTTAAAATTTGTGTTTTATTGAATGATTGGTGTTCGTGGAAATACAGGCAACAAGAAGTCCTTCATTACAAGAGCGGAGGGCGCCGCGGATTTCCAGTTCCAATTGAATGGCCCCTCTCAGAAAATATTCTTTGTTAGGGTTAGGTTTTCGTACTCAATCAATTTCACAAGATCAACCCATTAATAAGTCTGTCCGCCCGTCGTCTTGAGTCCTATATCTTCACGCCAAGTCCGAAAAGAATAGGACGCCACAAGGCACGATTCGTTCACACATCCTTTGCTTCATTCATACACATTCATTACTCTTTTCACATAACTGTATGAATCATGAATTGAAATTCCAATAGAAAAACAGTTTTTATTGCAGCCATAACAACCTTTAATGAAAATCAAATAAATTACATATGCATACATGAAACGTTGCCATGGAGACATGCAAAACGAGCGGTTTTTAATAGCACGACGGTTCTGTGCCCTATCTTGTACCAATCTCACTCACTCTTAACCGGTTTTTCTATATTTAGAAGTGCCGACAAATTATCTCACCCCTCTTGATGTGTGGTGTCAGGTGTGAATATGAATGAAGATGGAACTCTGTGGAATTTTTTGCATTTCGGTCACAGTCTTTGTTTAAAATTTTTGAAATTGACCGTTTTATCACTTCTTCATCATCATCATCAACCCATGCTCGTCCACTGCTGGACATAGGTCTCGCCTAATGCACGCCACTGCTCCCGATTTTCTGCCGCTCTCATCCAGCCCACTCCAGGAAGCCTGCGAATGTCATCATCTCATCTTGTCTCAGGGCATCCTACACTACGTTTACCGAGTCGTGGTCTCTGTTCAAGAACTTTCCGGTTCCAACGGCCTTCAGTTCTGCTGCTAATGTGACCAGCCCACTTCTACTTCAGTTTGCTAATTCGGTGGGCTATGTCGCGACCGGTGACTTTGGTTCTCTGTCGGATTACATCATTTCTGATGCGGTCCTTCAGGGATACTCCGAGCATAGCCTTCTCCATAGCTCTTGAGCGACTTTAAACTGGTGGACTCGACCAGCCGTGAGTGTCACGTCCCTGCGTCATCACTTCTTATGATATGAAAATGATGATAATTTAGCATAACATAAAGCCTCATTTGTTTTCCATCCCGTCGCATAATTAAAAAGTTATTTAACTTATTATTGGAAGCCGCGACACTAAAAAATATTTTATTTCACTCCTTTAATAAATATATATCATAATTATTATGAAATATTTTTCGATGCAATGTAGTAGAATAGAAATACAAATTTTTGACGTCAATTTTTAGAAGTTACAAAATCAGCAAATAGCCTTCAATGTTCCCTGCATGATACGAGCTGTATTTTTCAATAAGATGGCAAACAGACAGACAGATACAACGCTTTTTAGTCGAAGTCCTAGATAATGTATGTAAGCATCTCAGTTTAGCAAATTAATGTATAAAGGTGCAGGTACTGTAGTACTACAAGTCTGAAAACCCGTCTTTATAATTACCTTCCTTCCGATTCCGTCGGCCTAGGCACGTCTTAGACTACCCCGATGACGAAATCACCCGTGCCAACGCGCCTCCGATTCCTCCCACACAGGCCATTAACACCAACACTACACAGCTAGCAAACGTGCACACTAGCTTAGCATTAGGCAGACACCGCACCCGTAGGATAAGAGTGCGAAGACCTGGTCTACACACGACACGCTATCCCAGGTACAGGTATGTACCTGGGCGTTTTTCCCCGCCCCCCACGACAACGGCTTACTAGAGCCGAGGGCCGAGTCTCATAGACGCCCTCTAGTTGAGCCGACCCCCTAAGGTTCGAGTGGTCTAGAGGCTCCAGACGGTGAGGAGACTCCCCACGTGGGGAGACGCCATCCGCCTGGAATACCTCTAGAGGCACTCGCCAAATCTCGGCTTGAGGTCCCCTTAGGATCTCGCCGTCCCCAAAACCCGGTGACGCTGTAAAGGTCATCTGCGACCAACAGCATACACACTTAAAAAAAATTGGGATTACCTGAATTGGCAAAAATGTTACATCGACTTGCTCCAGGTAGTATAATGATTAAGTCATTATAATCTATTCTTCTATCAATCGTTTTCATGTTCTTTATAAAACCTTGTTTGTTGACTCATGTTCAGACGTTTAACTCACAATCACCGCTGTTCATTCAATATGCTTCGTTCCGCTCGGATACAGTTTAATATGCGTATACGGTTTTCTGCATATACTGTTATATAGGTATGCAATGCATGCACATTATACGACTTGTGCCTTTCATCGTTGCAACGGAAAATTACGCCCTCTCTTTGTTCTGGATCTTAAGTTAACAATGCAGGATTTCTGCTTTGAAATCTTCTTTTAATTATAAAGATTTTACTATTCATTCCAATCTTGCATTATCAATACTTTCTTTATTTGCATCTTATAGTTTTTGAAGTTATACTTCTTTAGGCGCGTTATGAAAAAATGATGAGAGTGAAATTTTAAGATGCGCGCGCATCACTGTAACACAAATCATTAACAGCATGAAGTTAGTCACTTT